GTCTTGTTTGCTTAAACCAAACATTAGCATAGGGAGGTGGGGGGAGGAAGGATGCCAATGACTGTTAGATTTCACCATTTTAACGGGTTTAGAAACTCAAAATGACACTAATTTTTATACTAATGCTTCTATATAATTCCATCTTAGATAATATGCTCAAAGCCTCAGGCACTTGAAGGGCAATTAGAGGCCAGAAAGAAAGAAAAAACCATTTAAACAGTGCCGCAAAGAAGATTCACACCATCATATGCTCTTAAAGGTGTTCTTGTATCCTACTTCTAAAAAGAGGTCCAAAAATATATGGTGTACAAGAATGTTCTCCTAAATGTTTAATATATATTAATTATAGATTACCAGTCAGTGGTAGAATAAGCAGCATGACTAAGCAAAGAAAAGACTTTTTAAAAACCTCCCATGTTCATAACAGACATGCTGTTTTATATTCCAAGCTGCAATCTGGGTCGGTTAGCTTTTGATATATTTCTGCTTCAAAACAGACAATAGATATGTTTTCTTTTGTGTGTGTGTGTCAAAGAAGAAATACAGGTAGTCCTTAACTTACAACAGTTCACTTAGTGACAGTTCAAAGGTAACAACCACACTGAAAAATAGTGACTTATTTTTTCACACTTATGACCTTTCCAGCATCCTTGTGATCATGGGATCAAAATTCAGACGCTTGGCAACTGTTCCATATTTATGACCGTTGCTGTGTCCCGGGGTCACATGATCCCCCTTTGCGACCTTCTGACAGGCAAGGTCAATGGGGAAGCCGGATTCACGTAACAACTGGGTTACTAACTTATCAACTGCCGTGATTCACTTAACCACACAGGCAAGAAAGGTCTTAAAATGTGTTCTGACCAAGGCTTCCTGAGATAGTAACAATCACACACAAAAATCCTCTTTTTATTTCATCGGCTGTGAATTATATTCATTCACAGCCCCTAATGAGTCCCAAACAGTTTATGAATAGTGTAACAGAAGTCTGCCACAGTCTTTTGGGGATAAGGCTGATAAGCACCCACCTTTAGTTCCCTTGAAATGATGCCAGTGACTAAATTGCCAATTAGCTGTACAAGGCCAAACGGAGCACAAAGTCAACACGGAGCTTCAGAGCTTAAACTGATCAGAACAAACAAAGTTGCTTCCTGCAAAGGCTCATGTCCCTTTGCTCCTCCTTTATGTCTTATGGGAGGGGCCAACCATCTCCAAGCCTTACTCCCAAGTCGCCCCTTTTGTCTTAACTGTTCTTGCCTTCTGACAGCTCTGCGCAAGCAGGCACTGGGAATAGGCTTACCCTGTTCCTCTGATTCGCTGATGTCAGATTCTGGAGGCTCCAGAATCAGCCCTGGCCCTATCTCTGTGCCGGATGCAGATCCCTTGTCTGAGCCCTCCCCAGACTCCAGGACTGGCCCATGTTCCTCCCCACTGTCCGACTCTGCTGCCAGTCCACAGGCCTCCGGCAGACAGCAACAAAATGGCAGCAAAATTCACTTAACAAATGTCTCACCTAACAACAGAAATGTTGGACTCAATTGTGGTCATAACTCGAGGATGACCTGTACTGTATTTTTCTCACCCTGCTGTTCCTCATAATACAGGTAATCTTTGACTTAGAACCATTTGATTAGCGACCACTACAACAATACCGGGAAAAAAATGATTTATTGATTTGTCCTTGCAGTTACAACTGTTGCAGCCTCTCCCAGGCTCAAAATCTGGGCTCTTGGCAATGGTATGTAATCTGGGCTCTTGGCAACGGTATGTTGCAGCACCCTAGGATGTAGTCACCATTTGCAACTTTTCAAGCCAGCTTCTGACAAGCCGAGTCAATAGGCGTTGTGGTTAGCCGGCATCAGGTGTGGATGGCTGAGGAGTGTGAGGACTCAGATGAAGGGCCAGGACCATTAGGGAGTGGACTGCTGCCTTCAGAGATTGTGTGGTCTGGCAGCAGTGATGAGGAGGTTCCCGAGGAGCCTGTGCCAAGTGCACACAGAGCTGCTCATAGGAAAGAGCAGTTACAACAGCACGGGCAACTCGGGAGTAAGATTGCAAGGTAATGGCCCCTCTTTCAAGTAGATAAAAGCCAGCTGTGAAATGAACGTTCTTTGCAGAAGGCAAAGACGTTTTGAAACTCCAGCCTTGTGGATATTCCAGTATCCTGAGTTTCTTTTTGAAGATTCTTGTATTGCAAATTATTTCTTGTCTGTTATCTTTTGGCAGTCTCGCACAGTTTGGAAAGGCTTGTGCTTATCACAGCCAATTATTTTGCAGAAGCACTAAAAGATTTCTGTTCCCTTTGGATTGTGTTTGATTTGTTGGAAAAGGGCAGGGGTCAGAACAAAAGGGGAAGCTGGATTTGCTTAACAACTGCGTGCTTCACTTAACAACTGCAGTGATTCACTTAACAACCATGGCAGTGAAGCAACTTGTAAAGTCAGGCTCAACTGATTTAATAACCACCTCGGTTATTAATAGAAATTATGGTTCCAATTGTGTTTGTAATTCGAGGACCACCTGTATAATGATAGTCAGTCAATCTCAGCAACTTTAAGCCGGGTGAACTTCAACTGATGTCTGTGAAATCAATTTTAATATTCAACAGCAGCAGCCATCACCATCCCAGCAGGCTAAAGCATAGCCAAGTGGGGAACGCAGTGACACTCCATCTGTTTGGTTGGAGAAAAAAAAAAAACAGCTTCTTGTTTTTCTGAACTATTTATTCCCTTGCAAGACTGTAATACCTTTTGTTCCAAAAGAACAATATTAGAACTTTGCAACCCACTTGTACTTTTTTTTCCCCCCTTCCTTATCCGAGTGATGTGTTGATCTTTTGTAAATCAGTTGGGGATCCTTTTTGCTGGGAAGTTGAAACTATGAGCTGAGGTGGTGCAGTGGTTAAAATGCAGTATTGCAGGCTGACTGCAATTTGACAGTTCGAATCTCACAAGGCTCAAGGTTGACTCAGCCTTCCATCCGTCCAAGGTGGATAAAATGAGGACCCAGATTGTTGGGGGCAATACGTTGACTCTGTAAACTGCTTAGAGAGGGCTGTAAAAGCACTGTGAAGAGGTATATTAGTCTAAGTGCTATTGCTATGTGGAATAGTTATTAGGATCAGTTTTAATGTACGTTTTCTAATTACACCCTATTGATAAGTAGTAACTGGGGTGGTTATCTAATAATAGTTGATTTGAGTTCTTGAAATAAAAACTCTACTCTAGTTTTTATGTAGAAGTTGCTTAATTTTATGAAGTATTTCAGATACAGGAAGTTATCTGTGGGATACGATTGGTCCCTTGCCACAATTGCCACAACTTTGTAGGGAAAAAGAATGGGGAGGCAGGACGGTTTGATTAGGGACCATTCTCTACCAGTTTGTAACTCCCCACATTTATATAAGAGCCATTAATATCTAGGCAAGTCACACACTATTAAATTTTGAATTTTTATTTATTTATTTAAAACTACAACTCTAGGCAATTCACAACAATGACCTAAAATCAAACATCATAAAGCAGTAAAAGAAAAAAAAAAAGTAAAATAAGTCTTCCCACTAATCCAAAAGATTCCAATTTTGCCTTCCACAAGTGAACTATTTTTTTTGATAAATTAGCAGAGAAAGAAATTGAGTTTAGAGATGGATAATGGATTGGTTGTGGCCTACCTTATTTAATTCTTTTAACAAAAAATTGAACAGCTGTGTCTATAAGGGCACCCTTGTTTACATTCTGCTGAGATTTTTATTAATTATTTGCTCTAAAGATTTTCCAATCATATGAAAAGAATTTTTAAATCAGAAGTGGTCAGATTTGTTGGTATATGTTTGAGTTATTTTCAGTAAGTAAGCAAAACTTTCTGACTCCCAGCAATTTTCATACAGCAAGTAAAAGTCAGGTTAAAATAAATCTCGGCTTTAGCCTTCTGCTTGCCATTTTATCTCAATCTCTCAATCTTCTACTTCTTAAATGAAGACTAATTAAGCTCCCCCCCCCCAATTCGTTTGAGAGATACCTTAAATTCCAACTCTAAAATCATGGATTATGTAATTTTTAATTCTGCGCATTGTAAGGGTGCTGGGTTGGAGAAAGATAGAGCTGAATTTTATAGAGGCCTTAATATTCTATGAGTTAGAATCCCTTATCTCTCACAGTTATGTTTGAAAGAGTTAGCGGTAAGCGGAAAACAGGCCACGAAAGAACACAATGTCTGGACACCATCAAAGCTGACACCAGCCAGAGCATAGAAAAATCAACAAATTGGAAAATGTGGAGAGAACTGGCCCATAGAATCATCAAGAATAGGACATGACCATATGGATATATGGATAACATCATCATCTCTCACAATGCAAATGACTGTACATATAGCTCAGGGGTGTCAAACTCAAGGCCCAGGGGCCACATCCGGCCCGCGGGGTGCTTAGATCTGGCCCATGAGGCCACCCTGGAAACAGCGAAGGATTGGCCCACAGAGCCTCTGCCAGCAAAAACGGAGTTCTATTTTCACCGGCAGAGGGCTGCACGAGGCTGTTGCAACTGAAAACAGGGCCCGGGGGGGGGGGGCACACGCGGCCCACACGAGCTCCATTTTTGCTTGGGCCTCCAAAGGTGCCACCAACACGAGTGACGTCAAGATGGCCACACCCACCCTGGCCAGCCCACCACAGCCCCCGCATTCAAACACAACTCTGATGCGGCCCTCTATTGACACCCCTGATGTAGATTATTGTAACACATGACCCATGGGGCATAAGAAGGAATTGTTTTCCGTTATTTTTTACATACGTACATGCATACACGCATGAACACATATATAGATGATACAAACACCCTTAGCTGAGCTCCATTTTTACTCTTGGACTAAGTTTGCAAACTGAATGGAGGAACTCTTAACCAGTAACCCCCACAAGCTTCCAATCTGTCCAAATCAGAATATCCCACATTTGGATCTTGTTTTTTCCTAACTCTGGCTTTCTAACCTGTCTTGTGTGGCAGGCAAAGCTTTGACCTATCTTCTGCTGCAACCTCCCAGTCCGAAGCTTCCTCCTCACAGCACCATTCGAAGAACCGCCATTGATCTCATAGGAAGAGGGTTTACAGTATGGGAGCCTTATATGGATGTGTCCGCTGTGCTGATGGGCCTTTTGGAACTCTGTGCAGATGCCGAAAAGCAACTTTCCAGGTAAGCGTTTATCCCTTATTTGATTAAGAAGGAGACATGTTTTGTGTATGATGGGCCTCCCTTGTTTTTGATGGAGGCATTTGCACTGCATTTGCAAGGGTCCAGTCTCTGATTGGCTGTCACTTCCATGAACACATTTCACCAAGATCCTCCAAGGACTTCTCGTTTGCTTCTGGGTACGGTTCAAAATGTCCGTTTCAAGCCTGCAAAGCCACATACGGCTTGATGAGGCCGAGCTACCTGTGCAGCCAGAATTGATTCAATTCATTTAACCTGCGAGAAACTCCATATAGTCCCCGTATTGCAGGGTGAATGGGCTGAAGCACCCCACTATTATTTTACACAGAGGTATTAATTTATCTGCGAGTAAATAAATAGGTGCTGCTTTGATAGGAAGGTTACTGTGTTAATCAATCAACGTTTATTGTCAGAGGGCAACATGTGTACAATGAGATTGGCTGAGCCTCCCTTCATGCACACACACCCCAAAACACAACTCACAGTGAAGACACAAAGTCCCTAACCCAGTGATTCCTACTAATAAACACACAATCTTATTACAGCATGTGAACTTATTGCACAACGTGACATGAAGTTATTTTCCATTCAGGAGTCTGACTGCCTACAGGTAGAAACTGTTCCTCGGTCTGTTGGTGGGGCTGGCTATGCTTCTATATCTCCTACCTGATAGTAGGAGAGTGAAGAAGTGCTGACCAGGATGTGAGTCATCCCTGAGGATTTTCCTCACTCTTCTAAGGCATCGAGCCCTAGCGATGTCATCTAGTGGTATCAGGGAAAGCCCACGATGTTTTGTGCTGTGCTCACCACCCTCTGTAGTGTCTTTCTATCCACAGCTGTCAAGCCAGCATACCACACCATTATGCACTTTCATTATGGCCAAATTTCGACAGAATTGTCCCTCAGACAACACAGCTACCCTGGCTGAGAATCGGAGATGACCCCCGCTCCCTTGAGTCGGTCATGACTGGATAGGGGAAACCTTTAAACCTTTATCTGTGCTATGATCAACCAAACACCCCTTCAGTTCACATCTGTTCAGTCCCCACATCATTGCATTCTGGAAAGCCCAAGCTTGTTCTGGAGAGCCTCTGAGAAGATGCTGATCTATGGTAGCTTGTTTTTATATTCCGTATTTTGAATTTTATATTGGTTAGTTTTAGGACCTTTTATCTTCTACCATGGATTTTATTGTGTTATTGCTTTTTATTGTAACCCATGAGAATCCTGTTGCTACAGGAATAGTGGGGGAGGAGTGAAAACACTCCTTATGGGTTGAACCATTCCTACCTGTCAGAAAACAGGATAAATGGATAGGGTCTACCTTGACATTAATAATATCCAAAGGTAAAAAATAAAAATCCACTGTATGCCAGCCATATCTGGAAGTCTGTTCTCTAGAGCAGAGTCACTAAACCCTGCGGTCTAGCACATTCAACATACAAATTGTGACTTCAATGAAGCGCAAGCATATATAACCTTTTAGGGTATAATTGTAGATAAGTCGCATCTACTTTAAAATCACAATCAAAAGAAAAACAATCTCAGTTTATTCATTTGAAATACTCTTCTCCAATTGCATTCCAGTGTTGTGTCTCCTGTTCATTCCTTTCCTTCCACAGAAAATTTAGTCATGCTATCCTGGTTTCTAGGAAACTGTTCAATCATGGATTTATGGTTTAGGCTTCATAAGGAAGGCACGATAGCTTTTCTATTATAGGGAGTATGAAATCAGGAAGAAAAGGCAGGTACAAAGAGAGAGCATGTGAATGTATTAATCTTAAACAAATAGATACTGGTTTAGCCATTTAATTTTGCATGTTAGTTGAGACAAGTGGGGAATAAACTTTTCATATCCCCCCAGGAATCTAAACTATACATTCCCTGTATCTTTTCTATTTTGCTTAAAATAGAATTTGGTTCATCTCACTGGTTTTTGATGGCATTTCATTGTTATTTTGTTAAATATAGCAGCGGAAAAATTTCTCTCCCACTCTCTGTTGTTTTATATTTATATTTGTTTCATGATCTGCGATTGAATCTCACACTGTTAAGCCCATTAATTCATATATATATTGTGGCTTCAGTGGCAATGAATATGCATATTTACTGCCAAGGTAATTTAGAAGAATATGTCCATCCTTTCTTTCCATTAAAAATACACTCAAATCTGTTTAAAGTAATTCAATTTTAGCATGAAGTAACGTAACACCTGGAGATAAGCTTTGTGTGTGTGTTATTTTCTGAAAATGTTTTCTTTAAAAACAAGAACATTGTTCTAGATTACGCTTTCATGGAAATATAATTTAAAAATTGGCTTAATGAAAGCTTTCAAAAATGCAGAGTTTCTGATCTCTTTCAGAAAAACTTCAGTTGCCACTCTGTGCCAAAATTCTTAACAGACCTATCATTTTGACCTTTTAGTGGACAATTTTACATATTTGTATTCCAACATAAACCTAGGGATAACAAAACCACAAATAATTGAGCCTGTGAGACTTGGGAATGTGGATGGATTAGATTCTGGGGCCTATGGTTGTCCCATTCCCAGCCCCTCCCTCAAGCACCTCCTTCTTCTTCCTTCTATGGAGGTTATCTGTTACAATCTGTCTTTATTTGCTATTCCTTCTTGCTTATTTGTGGCAGGCTTCACTGAGTCAAACTAATTGTTGGGCTCTGTGGAGCTTCCTTGTGGATTTTGGGAGGGGGAAAAATTATTCAGTTGGTGATGGAAGCAGTCACCCTGCTTGTACCACATAACTCATACTAGCTTCTACTATCTATGTGGTTCTTTGACAATCTCACTGGAGGCATCTCCAAGATTGTGTTACTGGATGTTGATGTTTTCTACAAATTGCTTGAGCAATTTCTGTAGAGCAACGAATCCAGTGTGGACCTTGGGGCCAAAGCAGAACAGCTCCCTGCATAACCAGCCAGTCTGGTCACTCCAAAGAAGACCAGCTGTCGCAACCAACAATATCCACTGCAAACAAGCAAGGAGGAGCAAACACTGAAACATTAACAGAGATAATTTAATGGCAATCCTTTAAAATATGTTTAATTTATATGGAAAATCAATCTCTGCAGGTATGGACAAAGCAGTGAATATAAGAAAAACCAATACAGGTATATAAAGCTGATCTTTGTTTATCAAATTGAGCAGTGGTGGGATTCTTTTTTTTTTTTTACTACCGGTTCTGTGGGCGTGGCTTGGTGCGCATGGCAGGGGAAGGAGACTGTAAAATCTCCAGTCAGAGGTGGTTTTTGCCGGTTCTCTGAACTACATTAAAATTTCCACTACCAGTTCTCCAGAACTGATCAGAACCTGCTGAATACACCTCTGAACTTGAAATATGTGAAACAAAGTATATTAAACCTGTGGAAAAGATCCATTTATGTACAATTTGCAGAAAAGTTTAACACATTTTATAGATGGGCAATATATTGGATGTATGAAAAGGGTCATGATCTATCATAACTCTTTTTTTAAAAATTTATTTGATTTGTCAATCGCTTACAAGATAATAGGTATAAGTATAAACATGAGTAGGAATACAGGAAATAGGTACAATAAATGGGGACAATAGGACAGGGACGGTAGGCATGATGGTGCACTTATGCACGCCCCTTACAGACCTCTTAGGAATGGGGTGAGGTCAATAGTGGTTAGTTTGAGGTTAAAGGAGTAGGGGTTAGAGGATGTAACAACAGAGTCAGGTAGTGCATTCCAGTCATTGACCACTCTGTTGCTGAAGTCGTACTTTCTGCAATCAAGTTTAGAGCGGTTTACATTGAGTTTGTATCTATTGTGTGCTCTTGTATTGTTGTGGTTGAAGCTGAAGTAGTCATTGACTGGTAGGACATTGTAGCAGATAATTTTGTGTGCTACGCTTAAGTCCAACCATAGGCAGCATAGTTCAAGATTATCCAAGCCCAAAATCTCAAGCCTGGTGATTTAGGGTATATCATAGGGTATATTATATAGGGTATATTACTCTTTACTTTATTGCTGTGGTAGCACAATGAATGTAATCATAAACCATGATCAAAATTCATTCGGTTTTCAAAATTATTAACTTGGCATAACATTCTTCTTGTGTAGGGTGGAGGTAGATGCCATTATGAATTATGATTATTTAGAGCTTATCATATCAAGATTTTTTTAATTCAGAAAAAGTACAGTAAGAAGAAGAATCTATTTGAAATAACAGTTGAAGAAATTCACAGGTTTCATGGTTTTAATTTTTCAACAATACTGGCACAATTGCATGTATCCATCTGAGTATGTTTTGTTACTTTTGTAAAATCATACCTAGATAACTTCTTGCATTTAACATATGCCTAATGCAACCCAAAAGTTAAATACGCATTATGTCTAATTCTAGAATCTAATCAAAGGATTTTAAAAAGTAGTAAAAATTATCCTGGTCCATGTATATAAACTATTTCAGTATCATCTCTTAAGAGATGCTGCCTTGAAACATGTAAACATGAAGTGTCTGATAAATAGGCAAATCTGAAAAATGATAAATTCTTGAGATGAAAAATCAATAAAGCTATAAAATCAAAAGAAACAAAAAAGATTTTTTCATAGACAAAGATATAAAAATATTGTGCAGTTATCACAGCGATTAGATGAACCAAGCCAAAGAGTTTTCAATCCAATTGTGCAAAAATTATATTTTTACTTAAATATCTTTCTGCTTTCTAGAGGAAGGGATAATTAATCATTGTCCTTCTGCTCATATCCTCTGAGGTATGAAAAAAATCCTTTCCATGATGATGGTTATAAAAACCTTTTAAAATTATCATTCTCAGTAATTTGAATTATCTGAGTGCTTAATTCTTGCCTCATAAAATATAAATTTCTTGGTCAATTTTTACTATACTAGATAAAAGACATAATAAAATATAATATTGAAATGTATTTTGTATTTTAAAATTAATATTTTCCTCTAGGGAATTAGGGAAGACAAAATCATATGCTGAGTTTTATTTCTTTCCCTTTCATTCCTGCACAACTAAGGTGTGCCTCATCTTTAGATACTTGTATCTAATAAAACACAATTTTGATTGTTACCAAATTTCTTAAATCTGTTCTAAAATGTCAGAAAATGTTTTAAAACCTCAAGTAAGTGGATTTTTATTGTATTTGCTCCATTGTCTTCCAAAAATGTATTTAAGTTCTGATGTTCAGTATTAAGCTTCTTTCTCTGAGAGATTTCCAATTCAGCTAGTTTTTGCCAACATAGACAACATATATAGTTTATCTAATTTGATTCTTTGTCCCTTTTCTAAATTATTTAACACACAGTACAATGATGCTATATTTAAACATTCTACCCTGATTTTTAGTGTATACTCAGAATCACAAAACAGGAAATAATGCATTAAAATGCAGTATTAAAAATACATTTAGAAGAGTTACAAAAGTAGAAATCATTATGGTCATTATAAACATTTTGTGTAAACTAATGTAAAATTGAAGATTATTGCCTGGATCTCATAGAGTTTTATCATTTGATATTACTTACTTAGGAAAAAAAAAAAAAGAGACAAGAACATCATCTCTAGGACAAGAATTAATGTTTTTTATCTGTGTAACATTTGCTTAAAAATCCTATTCTAAAGCTTCTTTGATAATTATGTTGCCTCATCACATAAAGTAATTTTGTTACATTTAAAAAGGAATTATTAATATGTCTTCAGTCATTTTCCATCTGACTCATTTGTTACGCCTTTTTCATATCAGATCTTTAAAGTTTATAAGAAAGTTGTTAAGTCTCTGTTAATTGTCGGCAAATCAGAGTTTCCCAGTTGTTTTCCTCAAAGAGTCATAACCTCAACATATGTTTTTATATGAAGTTGAAGTTATGTGAACTCAAATAAAAATGCAGGTTTTAAATTTTGATTGGCAGAAATTTTGATTCCTACCAGTAGATGTGATCCTTTTATTAAATTACCCACTATATATAGAGGACATACGTGCTGTTCCCAAAACATTGAGGGCAGATTATTTTCTCCAATTCAGCAATGTGTTCCTTTATATTGCATCGTTCTTGTGTTGTTGTTGAACATTCTAGCTACCTTCCTTAAACAAACTTGGTCATTGTCTGAAATCCTCAAAGGACGACAATATCAGGCGAGGATAAATCGTAAGGCATCTATCACTATTTAATTTCTGGTTTCACTGAAATGGGAAATAAGGGTGTGTTATTACTACCAAGCTGGGTATTGCGAAAGTAAAATATTTTTGTCTCCTTAGGGAAGAGCTAGGCTTGTAGGATTTTGTAGGTGTCTGTTTTGAGCAGAGCTTCTATAAAGACAAAGTATAGTTTTTCAAGATGCTATTTTAGGCTCCCTGGTATATCTCTGGCTGTCATAAAGATTAGTATTGCTCTCTGTATACAGAGCTGCTGAATAAATGAATGTATCAGCATGTAGCCTTGAGGAGACCAATGCAATTTTCATCATGATAAATTGCATAATAAGCGAGAAAGTGTTTGCTTATTAATCCATAACAAGATTTAGATTGAAAATGGCCTGTTACATCCGTGACAGGTACTGTACTGGCTGCAGAGGGACTTAAGAGGGAAAGAAATGGAGCAACAATGTGTACAGGGGGTTAAGTGTCCATCTTACCCTCCCGATGCCCTGCTGAGCTGCCCCTTTTTTGTGCCTGATTTACCGTGCACACAATAACAGCGCACAGCTGCCTCACTTCTGTCTGTGATGTTAAGCATGGTTTATAAAGGAGCTTTTATGTCGAGCGTGTAGTTCTGAGGCGGAGTGGGGAAAAAAAATCACTTCACATTTATTGACAAAGGAAAACACATGCAGTGTTTATCTTTTTGTGTATTTGGTGTGTGTGTGTGTGTGTGTGTGTGCGTGCGCGCGCGCTGCGCAAGCGTTGAATAAAATACATTGCTAGTGTGCAGATCTTTGAATTTCTTCTTTGCACTTTGGCAGTCCTTTCTCCCTGCCATCTCGTCCATTTCCACCTCCCCTTCACCTCCACTTCCTCCCCAGAAAGGTTAAATTATGGGAAACGTGTTAAATTAACCGCACCAGAGAATTAAGAGTATTTAACTAGTATTAATCATTCAGCTTTGATTCTATGCTTAAAGCGATTATAGAAATCATCCTGACCCACAATTCCCAGTTATAGGTTGCAGCTTAATTCATCTTACAGTTTGGATGCAGTTTGTCCAGTGCACTGTTGGTGTAATCAAGTAGCAAACTGTGTATTTATTAATTTAGATATTTGGTTTGACCTAAGGAACTTTCCAGTATTATTTCTTGTTTTGCTTCTGTTTCTTTCAAGAGAGCTTTATGAAAACCGGAAACTTTCCATGTTCACATTACAAGATAATAGGTATAAGAATAAACATAGTTATGAATACATGAAATGGATACATATAAGAAAAAATAAAAGAAACAATAGGGCAGGGACAGTAGGCACGTTGGTGCGCTTAAATGTACCTGGGTAGGAGAAAACCCTGGAAGCCTAAATTTCAGAAAAGTAGAATTCTAATAGTTATATGGTTCTGGGATTGCATAAGCAGAAAAAAAAAACCATTCATTTGGCATTAAATCAAGCTACAGTATTTTCAAATGGGAATGAAAGGATTGTGAGGAAAATCCATGATTGTTCTCATAGGAACTTTAGTGAGTTAATAGTAGAGCACTAAGATATATGCAAATTTCAGTACTGTATGTCTGGCTTGCTACCATGGAAACTTTACAAATTGTATCAGAATTACTTTAGAAGTTTATCAATTCATAATGATCTTTCCATTTGAGAATTATGTCCATAATTCAAAAACTAATATATATATATATTTATTTTCCTTCCTGCCTGCTTGCCTGCCTGCCTTCACCCTCCCTCCCTCCTTCCTTCCTTCTCCCTCCCTCCCTCCCTCCCTCCCTCCTTCTTTCCTTCCTTCCTTCCTTCCTTCCTTCCTTCCTTCCTTCCTTCCTTCCTTCCTTCCTCACACCCTTCCT